GCAAAGCGAGTGGAAGGTGCTCGGTCCAAGTCTAATGCTATTCATGCATCCAATATGCCCCGAAACAAGTTTAAAAATATTCTATAGCTGATAAGCGCTGAATATATGCATATTCGAGCCCGTAAATACGTATATGTTAAGGCCTAAAGTGATACTTTTATCCATAATTAGACTAATTTATCTTTAATTTGTGTTTGTAGTACTTTCCCAAATAAATGGTTAAAATCGGGACTTTATGATGATATCAAAGCTTATAGAGTCTTTGCTGGTCATTCAGAGCAAGCCGAGAGCTTAAATAGTGAAGTTTGAAGAAATTTAAGCCTTAGAGCTCGAGCCCAAGTGTTGAGTGTAACGACCCGGGTTTTGATTCAACCTGGTACTACAGTGGTGAATCGAAGATTGACCCGATAACGGATCTAGATGCGGAAGCAAGAAACAAAATGATGGTCTTCTAAGGCACAAAACACCTCTAAGACCCTAGGATGACCCTCCATGAGGTCACGGAACTCAAAGAAACAAGGTGCGGAAGCAAAAGACCGGAAGAATGACAATTAAGCCCCCAGGAGCAAGGTAGTCATTTCTGAAAGTATGAATTCAGGTGTCACCAAGCACACCACTGGAAAGACAATGAAAAACTAATCAAGATGGACTCAAGAATCGCATGATTCGGAGTCCGAACGAAGGAGAAACAACAAGATGAAGATAAGCGAGCAAAACCCTTTAATCAAGGGCAAAGTGGTCAATTTGCAATTAAAAAGGTAGATTTGACCCTAAACAAGTCAAATGAGGTCCGCATAACCTAATCTAATCGTTTTACAACATTCCAAAAGGTTCTAAGAACTTTGAACAAGAATCCCACGAAATGCCCTTTCCTGATTTAAACAAAAACTGACACCCTCTCACTAAAACATGAATGACTCTCACCACAATTGGATTTTGAATGATTGGTTGGTGTCATTGGAAATCTAACTTCAAGCTCATGAATTTAGGCTCAAGAATGACCCCATTTGGGTTAAAAACAAAGAAGTTATGGCCATTCGAAGTTGGTAGTTCAGTGCTGAAACTCAATAGAGGCTAGTCTTGGGATCTAGCTATTTCGGTCAACTGAAATGACCCATCGGATGACCAAAATGGACAAAATTTGTGCTGAAATCATGTTTTCAAGGCTTGGTTGTATCGGTGGACCGAAATGAACCATCAGTCGACCGAAATAAGCCATCAGTCGGCCGAAATGGCCCTGAACAGTGAAAATGGCTACTGGAAATGCATGTTTTGAAGTTCAATAAAAAAACCAAAAGGCTTTGGTAGACTAAAATGCCATTTCGGTCAACCGAAATGACTCGATAAAGTGTAAAAATTTCATGTTATGCACTCAAGGCTGAAGGTCTACTTGGAATCCCCCATGGCATGTTCAATTTGCATTATATGCAAGTGTGTGATGATGTGAACATGCACACAAGTGTAACATGGATATTTAACCATGTTACAATGTCCTATGGCCTCATGACACTCGTTTACAAATTTTCACATGTAAAACCTCTAAAGTTGGAAAAATTACATTTCAAAGGTAAAACTTAAGTTTACATACATAAACTTGAACTTAAAGGTTTGTGACCCTTGGCCTCATGTCATACATGTCAGATACATTAAAAGGAGTGTACTTATGTACACTTTACATACATAGAATCAAGAATACAAGTTTTGTCATGTGAAGCCACAAATCACCCAAGCAATGAAATCTTCAAGTCTTGAGTCCTATACCTGAAATATGCCCCAGTAACGTAGGGGTGAGTAACATAAAGCTACTCGTAGGAGATGAGCATGCATCGACCTAGCATTTTACAATTGATATCACTTTAAGGTGAAACATGTTAAAGGGCTCATGCCACCTAGCGTCTATGTCAAGATGCGACTCAGGGAGCATCCTAAGCTACCTTAGAGTATAAGTAACAAGAATCATGATATATATATACATATATGAAACCAGTCAAGGTTGGAGTAATCCAAAGAACATGACAAAAGGACATTAGAATACAAGGATCACATTATGAATGCAATTTACATAGTTAGAACATACCAATTAACACAATGGGGATCATACACGAAATCTTGAACATGGCATAATATCTATGCAGTTAAACAAGATTGGAGCATTTCATAAAACATGAAAGGATTCTTAAATCTTTAAGGTATGTAACACTTGACATTTAAGGAATGAAATCACGGATGAAGCATAAAATCTATGCAATGGACAAGGATGGGATATTCCATAAAACACGAACAGGAGAATACATAAAATCAAGAACAGGGCATAATATCTATGCAATTAAACAAGATTGGTGCATTTCACATAACACGACAAAGACAAGATGTGAAATCAACCAATGTGGAAACTCGAATATCACCCAGATTAAAACCATACTCTTGAGATCACTTTAGGGCTACTAACCTATGGGTACCTTTCCCCTAGTGCACACTATATTATAGGAGGACATTCCCCTGTACTAGAACCGAGTCCTAGCCATGTCAATTCTTGATTGATATCTCCAAGTCCCAAAATCAACAAGTTGTGCAAACCAAGATAGTATCAAAATACAAGAAATGCATTAACCACGTTTCATGCACAACCAAGATTTTGGAACACACAAGTCATGCCCTAAGTTCTCAACTATAATGGCATGTGAAATGTCATGAAACCATAGTATGCATCTATATAGATTAGACCTAAGATATATAGCACATATAATCCATTGAAGTAAATATACTACAAGTATAAGATACATGATTCATTAAGTACATTAATGAAACCTAGATACAAGGAGTCACGATGCTTGATAAAAGATACAAGTTTATGAAATACAAGTCCACTTCATAAGTTCAACAAGAATTCAACATCAAGGCATGATTAACACGATGGAAGCATATAAAGAAATTTAATTTACTTAAGAAATTAAATTAACAAGATTACAAGGCAATTCCAATGTCAAGTTATAAGTTCATTCTAAGCATGATACAACCATGTGAGTTAAATTCCATACACAGGAATTAAATAAATATAAGTTTCAAAACTTATCCGATTATTCTCGAATTGATACACGTGAAGGAACTTGTCAAGGAAATCATGGAAAACAAGTTAGACACTTAGTCAAGTTCAAGGAACCATTGAATGGATTTTAATTAATTAAAATCTCTAGATTTTGAAATACATTTAAATGATCTCAATGTAGTGTATGTTATACAATATGTAAAGATTTGATTTAAGAGCATGTTACAAGTGAATTACATGCAAGATACAACCATGAGTATTAAACTTTAATACTAGAAAAAAAATAAAAAATGATAGATTTTAAAACCTAATCAAATATTCTAGATCAAATATATGTGAAACCACATAGCATGCACATCAAGAATGTCAAGTCGGAATTCCAATGGAGTGGATAGTACACTCGAAATAAATTAATTAATCAAATTAATTAAATATTACTATATTTCAAACATCTCTGATTGAATCCATTAACACTGGTGACCAAAAAAGGAAAATTCCATCAACACCATCAAGCATCGCCATTGATGCGAAGTAAATTGTGTGTATGAAAGAAGAAATACAGAAGAGAAGGAGGAGGAGATGACTAGCTGCAATGAGTAACAATCGCATAGCAACAATAGACGATGAGGATGCTGAACACCTCTAACATCAGCGTGAAGCGGCGATGAGGCTTTATCCATGCCTCACTAGTCACCGCACTGTCGATGACATCTTCAACGATTCCGATTCATCTTCCTCAACTCATTCTTCACCGTCTCGTTCCTACCTTAAACTCCAAACTTCCCATTAGATTGCTCCATCTCTCACATCAAACTGCTGGAATTCTGTAGGCCCTAATTCACTAAAACTTTAACGTCCTTATAACACAGGTTATCTTATAAAAATGAAGAAAACCAAACCTGTGCACACACAAAAATATTATGACAGAACTTACCTTGGCAATCTTTTCTACCAAACCAATACACAGAGATTAAGAAAACCTTCGTTTCTCTCACTGTAAATCAAAGAAATTTCACTTATATAGGGTTTGTGGATTACATACAATGCTTCAGTTTGTGAATTTACAGTGCCTACAGTGAACATCCACACAGAGAGCGAGAAAGGGCGATTTACAAGCTTAGGGTTTGAATTTATATATACACACAAGAACAGAGCTACCATCATGAACACTATGAAGAAATTAACTATAAAAACCTGGCGCGTGACCACACGTTGGGGAGAGTCTTCAGACGTGCAGCGTGGCAGGAAGGAGCATTTTACGCGCAGAAGTGTGCGATGTGTTGAAGCTCATTGTGGTGAAAGAGAACATAGATACATGGTGAACTCTTCGACGCGTGTTAACATGGCTGGTGAAGACTGTTTAGCGGTGAGATTGTGTGCGAATCCGACGAGAAGATCGGGTGAAGGTGATGATCTTAGTGGCAAGATGAGGTCGGCGTTGTCCTTGGTAGCGGAAAAATTAGATGTAGCCTGGACCACCGAGGCCGGAATTGCTGCATAATTTTCTGGCGATGGTTGAAGAGATCAGCTTTGTTTGGGTCGGCTACAACTGTGAGTGTGTTCAGTGATTGCGCTATTGTTGTTGCCGGAGTTGTTGGTGTATTGGAGTGTTGGTAATAAATTATAATGGTCATAAGGGCAACTTCGATATTTTAAATTTTTTGGAATGGCACGTGATCAACTATGGCATATTTAACGGTGAGAAATGACCGGAAGTCCACCGGCGGGTAAATTTTGCAAAAAATTTGATAGTTCAGGAGATTATTTGTAAAAAAAAATAGTTCAGGGGAGTTTTTAGGGAGAAAGAGGAAAGCTCAGAGGGGTTTATTACATTTTACCCTTTAATTTACTTGTTATTAAGAGACTCAATTTGAAATTTATTGAATTCTAAATTTTAAATTAGTCAAAGGTTATTATTATTCAATTCTTATACATTTTATATTTACAACCAAATACTAAATAATAGAACGTGAATAACCATTCTATTCACATTCTCATTTTATTTTCACATTTCATTGCTGAAACCAAACGCTGCATGAGAGTATGTGAGGAGCATGCGCTAGACTGGAAAGTTAGACATTCAGAATTATGGATTTTTAGCGGCTCAGATTTGGGCTTGAAAATGAATTGTGTGACGTTTTGAACATTTTTAGTTGGACAGATTTGGGCTTAAAAATTCCAAATATGAAGAGGGAAACTTCTAAAAGGAACACAAAATTTCAAAATCAACAAGAAGAATCTGCCCTTCACTGCAAGAAAGGGATTTGTTCGCATACGAACACCTACAAACCGCGCACTCTCACACCTCCCGCGCACTCTCACGGCGAGGTCAGTCTATCGGCCACCGTCGACAACCGAAGTCCTTAAACACGCTTGTGAGTTTGTTCTCTAGATATCGCTCCTTAAATTTCTGCTTTTGAATTTCTTCATTTTAGTGGGAAAAGCTTTATGAGCAATCAATTCTTTGCCTGTGGGACATTATTGTTGAACAATGGAATTAGGGTTTATGTTTGTTAGTTGAATTTGGGGGTATAGTAGGGTTCGTGCCTGCTTTGAATTATTTCAATGTTGGTTTGCGAAATGCTTCTCTCCGGGCCTTTGTCATAGCGCCTTGAGAGACTGTATTAGTGTGTCAAATGTCACATGAAAATGGGCAGTGGCGATTTGTTCGTCCCATTGGGTTAAACAGTTAATTGGGATAGTGTATTGAACAATATACAGTGTTTTAAGGACTAAAAATCATAATGGCTTGTTTAGTTTCTTAACTCGTTTTTCAAAATCCTTCTTGTGGTTTTACCATCTCTCTTCATTTTTCCCACCACATTGATCTAGTTAACGCGGATATTAGGTATATATTTCTATATTTCAAGTTCTGTTTGGTGGAAATATTGATAACCTATTTGGCTATCTCTGTTAGCCAATGACTAGGATTTCCTAAGCTCATGGTTGGAGCTTAGTTTTGTTTATTGCTCATGTATACTTAGTTTATAAATGGGTTATGCCCCGATTAATTGCTCTTTTGGGTACCTTGGAGGAAGCTGTAGCTTGTTTCTGGAGTGTGATATCTGGGTAGTAATGTAGAGACTTGTCTTGGCACCTTTTCTATATAATGTAAACCAGGCTTCTAGTTTATTGCCCTTTCTTCCATAAGCTTTATCATCTCTAATGGAGTTGTTATGAAGAATGCCTTATTGACTTGCCTGGTTGGAGATTCACTTGAGTTTCTGAAAAAGAGTGCTGCTGATGTGTTGTAAAATTCTCTCTTTCTCTCTATGTTGCTCATTTTGAATTTCATAATTAATTGTTCTATTATTTTTGCAGACCAGGTGAACAACATTTTGTTCCTACATCCCATCTACATGAATACCTTTTGGGGGCTAGGCTTGTACTCGGTTAGGAGGTTTTTTTTTTTTTTTTATAAGTAATACTTGGTTAGGAGTTGGGACTGAGGAGGATTCCACAGGGATATGTACCCCATCAATACAATACCTGGTTGCGGCAACAACATCAACCATTGGTTATGGTGTCACTGTTGGTACTAAAACTGTGACGACCTATTTGTTAATACGATGTCATACCTAAAGTAGTCATAAAGAATTCAAATTAACTAGGAAGAAGAAATATATTATTATATATGTGCAGTATACAATGCATTGGGGCAAATACATATTCTATTATATAATGCACAATCCTGAAGTTCACTACATGTACCTAGTCTATGACACATAAAACTTGAATTTAAAATATCATTATATTTAGTGTCACGATATGAAAATATTTATCATGCTTTTTTCTACCATAAACTTCTTTGTTCCCCTATTCTTTGTTTTTTTGATAAGTTCTTTGTTCCCCTATTCTCTTGACTAATTTACCAAATAGTACATTTTTATACCGATAACATAGGGTGAGATGTCTTCTTATTAACCAACACTTCAGACCATGTATACTGAATATAGTATTGGCTTTACTAGGCAAGTGGAATTTTTTTTTATAGATATTAACAACAATGCACAAGGCTTTAAGCAAAAGCATACCTTTGCAGTACATATAGTCTCTGAAGAACCCAAATAAAACAAAGAAATCGAAATGCACTACAAACATAGAACAAAGACAATAAGCAAAGATGGATCTATTGCAGAAAATAGAAAAAAGATCAACACAGCTTCAACAGCCGTAATAACAATTAAAAAAAAAAAAAAAAAAAAAACCTTCTAGAGCTGTAAACCAGCTAGGTCTTGCACTTCCCATTAAACCAGTCTGGCCACTTCTGCAAAAGGTATACTAGAGTTCTGGTACAGTCTCGTGCTCCTTTCTCTCCAATATACCAAATGACAGTAGCAATAATCAATTTGTAAGCCTTCTGTGAAAACTGTTGATAAAGAAACCTGTCCACCAACTGAAGCATGGAAGTGCAGAGAGGCAAGTTCCATGACAGCAGAGAGGAGAACCAGTTCCAATTTTCAAATATACTTAGCAAATGAAAAATTCACAAACAAATGGTCTGTATTGTCGTATGCAGACCAGCAGTTATGACTTATAGCTGTAAGACAGAGTCCTTTCTTCCTCAAATTAGTGAAGGACAATAGCTCAAGTGAGAATTACAGCTCAAAGTCTGCAACCAGCCCAGCATAGCTGATACCAAGATTCACTCAAGGACAGAGTTCTCCAACAATTCCAAACACTTGAAAGGAAAAGAGTCCATGATTTAATTTAATTGAATCAGGATGAGGGTGAATCTGCACATCTAATAAGAAGTTCCTCCACTATTGTATAGCAGAAGAGGAAGAAGCTGGAATTTTCCAAGATCCATGGCAGACTATGCTAGAAAGTGTATAATTATTTAGCAAATTAGATCTTCTATCAACCTGTTTCTGAACCTGGCCAGAAGAGTCTGATCTTGGTACCCATTTCCTACCTTTAAAACGACATGCTAAAGCATAAAATCTTGAATCTCTAGCATATTTCTTTAGATCACAGAGTGAGCAAAAGAGGGATAACAGCTCCAGTATGAAGCATTGAAAGTGTAATTACTCCTAAACCTAGCTATCTTTAAGCAGTCCTTGACATGAAGTCATTCCCACACCAACCTGCGAGTTGACGCTATGCTAATGTCCTCCGGATTTCTTATCCCAAAACTTCCCTCAGATTTAGAGATGGTAACTATGCTCCACTTCAGACAATGCGAACCCCACAAGAAATTCCTCATTCTCGCAGAAGCAGGCAACTTGAAGACTGAACACTAATAATATGCATCAGAAGTTAGTGCAATTCTCACCAGCTCTAGCTTGCCAGCCAAAGATTAATTCAAACCATCACAAGAGGAAAGCTTCCTAGTGAACTTATTAACCAGAGGAATGCATGATACATTCAAACCATCCATTTGATTGCATATCAAATTTGATTCATTGACCCATAGTTGATAAAATTTATGGGTTTAACTCTAGGTAACTGTAGTTGAGCTAGATATGATTAGTAACACCCATATTTCAAGTTATTAAATTGAAATTAATGACAGTTATTCTACAAAACCAAATCAATTCCACCTGTCCACTGTGACTTCATTGTTGCTTGCCATCTTAACTAATTTGCTAGCCTGACAAACCTTCCACCCTTGTTGCATTCAATATGTTGTCAACACTGCAATTACATTTTGTGCATGCATCTTGTATGCCACATTCGCATCTATAGCACATCTAGAGAAAATGTTCAACAGTTTCCCATGCCACAATCCTCTCTCTCTCTCTCTCTCTCATGCTCTACATCTAAAGGCCTAGTTATCATCATTAGGGATTCCATAATTAATTTGAGTTATTTGTGACAATGATGTTATATCTCGTGTGCTGCTGCCGTTAAATCCTTCTGTTCATATAGTTTTAGTTTGGCATATGTTTTTAAGGAAACTACATTGTCCTGCACACTACTGTACAATTTTTTTAGGTGTTAACATCATTTGAAAGATTTAAACTGGTTTTCTTTTGACATTTATGGAGATGCTCACAAATCCTGCACACTAGTATACAAAACTTGCTTAGGTATTAGTACTATCATTTGGCACATCAAACTGGTTAGTCTGGTTTTCTTTTGACATTTACAGAGATGTTCACTCACATTATTAGAATTTTTTTTTATCCCAGGTCTGGTATTAAGATATGGCTTGTCAATGATGTACTCACTTTCTAAGGAGTTCCTCCTGATAGTGGCAAAGTTAGATTAAGTTCTTCTGAGTTAACATTGCCTTTCTCAATGGCTAAGCGAAGAGTTAAGAGAACTGTTAAACCATCTGCTTCATCCCCTGTAAGCAATGTTGATGGTGCTGGTCCGAGTAAGCCCCCAACTGAAAAGAGAGAGGATGCATCTAGAGACCAGGAAGGTATGTGTTTCATTGCGTGTTTTTTCTTATCTATAAACAAGCTGTTGCTCATATACAATATTTGTCCTTAATGGTTGTTTGTTTATATTTTTCTAAGTAACTATAAGTATTTCGATGAAAAAAGGGAGTGCCATGCTCGCTGAATAACCAAGGTATACTAGGGGTGGAAATTCTGCCCTACCTGGTGTGTTTCCACCCCGCCTCATCCCTAATGGGATGGGAATGGTGATATATGAACTGGAAAAGGGGTGGGTATGGTAAAACAAAGTTGAACTCAATCCGGATTTGGGCAGGAACAGCCGAACAGGTACATTAGTGTTCCGCCACACCCCCACTCCACCCTTTTTATATAGTGCAAGAGAACCATACCCTTTTTGTTTTGTCATTCCTTAATTCTTAAATATCCTCATATATATGGTATGTCTTTATTCACTAGGGTTTCATTTCATTACTGTAAGTGATGCCTCAGCCTCCCGCTCTCTCTCTCCGGCCTAGCTGTTTGAGGCACTCATCTTCTTTGGCAGCAAAGTGGCAGTGAACCTCTCTCTGGCTTGTCCCTAGTTGCAATGGTGTCTTTTCGCTTGCCAGCAATCTGGTTCTAAACCTGCCTTGTTGCCATCCCTAAGTTATACAAACACAAAAGAAGGAAGAGTTGCACAAAATCAACAAAATACACATAGCACAGAATCAACAAAAACTCATTGGACAAGAGTGGCAAAACATTAAAAAGTCCGGTAACCAATTCTCATCTTGCTAGTATGTGTAGGAGAGATGAATTGGTATTATTTACACAAAATCACTGTTGGGAAACTTGATACTGCATTCCACTCTGGCAGTGCCATTGGCAACAGCTACAATGCTTCAACATAATTTCTTTTTCCAGTTTTAGAAATAAAGCTTTGTGCCATCATCCAAATTCTTTGATTTTCTCTTCTCTAACACAGTAAAAAAATAAAAATAAAAAGAAGATAAAAATAAAAAATAAAAAATAAAAAGGAAAGAGGGGCTTTCTTACATAGAAAGTGTTTATTGGCTAGGGTTACATCCCGTGCCAACTATCCTTCTCTTTACTTGATAGGTTGATAATAGATTGGGCAACAATCACGCTAACAAGACAAAGTAGTAGTGAATGAGGTCATTATCTGCCAACTTGGCATCCTCCCCGCACATGCTACATCCATTCGCATGAGGCTGTCTCTATTTATTGGTTGTTTAAAATTTAATTTTGTCAGTAACTAGGAAAATGATGTAATTTCCAGAGGGGCAAGCATGCTCCAAACTGTGTTCCTAGGAAGGACTCTTTCCACTGTTTTTTTTTTCCTTGGCAAGAAAATACTCACCCATTTGCCCCTATGAGAAATTGAACCCTTACCTTCCAGGTTGGGAGGTATAACAGATGCCACTAGGCTACAAGCCTACAATCCTTGGTGATCTTTCCAAGGCACAAAAATGGTTTAACATAAAACCTCTCTTCCCAGTTTAATTTCCATTCCATGACATCATCATCTTTATTCGACCACAACCAAGAAGAATCACAGTTAGTGATCAAATGGATAGTTAACTAGTAACTTTTGGGAAGGGTGAACCTTTGTTGTCTGTATGGGAAGTTTATTTTGATGTCTAAGGAGCTGGAATTTTTGTGCATCTATCAACCAAATTTCTCACCAATCTTCTTGGAAGAAGCATGCAAAGAAAGTGCTGACTAGTGGTCTTCTTCTTATTATTCTTCTTGCTTGTTACTTGTGATTACATTGTTATGGATAAGGATGGCACATGATTTGAAGTATTAGTTCCAGTCATAATATTAGTGTGAGACTGTTTATTTCCCTGTCACTGGTAAAATCCTTTCTTAATTTGTACTCTGTGAAGTGGAAATCTTAGGAAAGCAATCATGTAGTAAACTGTACTGAATGAATTGTTGAAATGAATAAAGTTTGTTGTTTCTCTTTCTCCTTTTCTAATATTGACAAGTAACAGATTTTAAGTTTTTAATAAATAATTTTGAAACTGGGTTTACATTACACATTGGGTAAATATATTAGCACTCTTTTTTTGATAAGTAAGAATATAATAGAAAGCGTTCAAAAGGGGAACGCATCCCAGAGAGTAAATATAGTAGCATTTGAGGCTCAATTTATTCTAGTGAAAAAGATTTGCTTTTTAACTATTCTGATTGTGCCTCTATTGTTAATATAAAAAAGAAACTATGTGTCATCATTCCTTTCACCACCAATTGTTTCTTATCAAATCGTCCTTCAAGCCACTTATGTAATTTTCAAAATGAAAGAGATTATATTTACTAAAAATCTTTTTAATTTGCTTATTGAATTTATTTGTATTGCAGAACAAATATTTACCTATTGATTATGTATTGGCCAAGATATGGCTTCTGAATCTGTGACATGACAAGGCTTCACTCGGTATTATAATCATTTGAGGCATTATAATTTTGTTTGATTTATGTATGGGGATATATGGTGATATGTCTTGTGTTGGCTGGTGGCATGGTTCTTTAAACCATGGCTAGTAGCTCTTATGATTTCGCACATCGATACTCCCTGATCCACTGAGCTGATTACTCATGCAACCACCTATGAGACAATGGATTCTTCTATTAGTCATGTTGTAAACCATGTTCTGATTTTACCTCTTTAATTAATTAAAAAACTGTGTGTCATTGTTCCTTTCACCATCAATTGTTTCTTATCAAATCGTCGTCGGTCAAGCAGCTTATGTAATTTTCAAAATGAGAGAGATTATTTTAAAGGATTATAAATTTTCTCAAAAATCTTTACTTTCTTATTGTATTTATTTGTTTTGCAGTAAAAAATATTTACCTATTGATTTTATATTGGCTAAGATATGGCTTCTGAGTCTGACATGACAAGGTTTCACTCGGTATTGTAATCATTTGCAAGATTATAATTTAGTTTGATTTATGTATGGGGGATATATTGTGATATGTCTTGTGTTGGTTGGTATCTTGGTGTTTTAAACCATGGTTAGTAGCTCTTATGATTTTGCACATCGATACTCCCTGATCCACCAAGCCGAGCTGATCACTAATGCAACCATTTAAGAGAAAACGGATTCTTCTATGATTCATGTCGCAAACCATTCTCAACTCTCTTTCTCTCTCTCTCTCTCTCTCTATCTCATGTTTTCAACCATCTTTGATTTCTCCAAACTATTGAAATGCTGTTTTGATGCTAGCTCTCATTGACTTTTTTTTTTTTTTTGCAAGAGTGACTGAGTTACAGTATTTTTTTTAGTTTCCTGTTTTTATGATTCATATAATAATAATTTCTCATAAATGAGAAGGAAGTGCAATAGTGCTTAAAATTCTTTTTACTTCTTTTACTTTTCTTGTTTAATTATTAGATATTTATCATTTTACAGTTGAACGACAAAGTGCCGCAATCAGGGCCATCCGTGATATGGAGATTGATCATTTGCTGACTGCATTACGTTTGCTCCGCTCATATTTCAATAAGGAACAACTGCAGACTCCTGTTCTGCAATTTTTCAGGGAAAACCTTCCTGATCTGTCAATAGTGAGAAAAGATGGAGAGTATGAAGTGCAATGGAAGGACAAAGATGGTAACTTATCAATGAGCCAGGCTGATAGAAGAAGCATACATGCTTCTCTTCTGCATAGGATGTCCATGGTTTATCCTGACTGCTCTGCCGCAATGCCGCCTTTCGGTGGCTTTGAATTTTCAAGCAAAGCAGGTATTATAGCTCTGACTTGATACATGTGAAATTCGAGTTCTTACTTTGAATGTCTTTTAATGAGTTATTTGGTTGGTGGTAGGGAAAGCAGGCCCTTTTGGTGTGGACAATCTGCAGGTAAGTGATTTTGTATGTCCTTGAATGAATTTTGTTGCATTTATTAATGCACTTCTTTTCCTTGATGTAGTATGGATTTTTTTCTACTAAACAATGCTCCCTTCTGGTACATTATTACTTGGTGGGTGATAGGAAAATTTGGTTATAGTATATTGCTGTAGTTTCACTAAGCTTTAAGAGAATGGTTATTGAATTTTCCATGTTTTCTTGCCTGGAAACATTTTGTTGTTGTTATTGTCGTTTTGTTTTTTTTGGCTGCATATATAGTAGGTATTTTTACTTTTTTATTAAATGCACATATATGTGATTATAGCATTTAACTATATATAGCATGCTTTAATGTCGTAATATGAACATTTTTTTCCTCATTCCTCATATTCTGCTTTAATGTTTCCCTCTTGTAGGTTTTGGAAGAGCCATCAGATACTCAGATGTTTGGCTTGCAAGATGGTCTCCAAACTCCAGCGGTTTGTGCTGCTTGATCATTTCTGGATGATTCTTTTTGGCTGCTCTTTGCTGTTTATTACATTCCTGGAACTCTTCTTTCGTTAATCTAAAACTGAAGAACCAAATTCATGTTTCATTTGCTGAAATAGATAAAAGGGATCATAAATTTACTGGACTGCATAAGTGAGTTCAGGACTTTAATTTCTTTAGTTTTACTCCTAGACCCTGAAGAACTTCCAATGGGCATGCAGTATGTATTGAAAATCTACCCAGATGCTTTGGTGAAAACATACTTGTCACAGCCCCGCTTAGGTGAAAATATAGTTGTCACGACCCGCTCTTCAGTGTAGATGTTGTCCACTTTGTGCACACTCTGTGATTATTGTTTTCAAAATGTGTCTACACAGTTAGGAGATGTTCACACATAAAATGCCAACAAACTCTCCCTTGCCAAACCAACCGCCGCCCCCTGACCCTCATGGACTTGTGCATGCTTCCCCCATTTTGGCTGTGGATTGACTCTGATACCATCATTGTGTATAGATTGTCTGCTTTACACATTTTATGTATCTACACAGTTGGGAGGCATCCACACATATAAGTGCCAACAACCTCTCCCTTCCCAGGTGATGTGGATAGTCTCAATACTCTTGATGGGTTCCATGAGATGACAAAGTTTTAGGGGAGTGCCTGTTGCATACCCATTTCTCTATTTTGTGGGATTCTGAAGTTGGATTGTTAAAATCAAAATAGACTACATCATTTATTTTAAGGCTTTGCAAAATTTTCAATTGGATAGAGGAAATAAGAAAATGTATCCTAATAATTAGTTGGTTAGATTAGTCAAGTCGAAACTCGAAGGACAGCTCTTTGGAAATGTGGTACTAGTCAAAAACTTAATGGAATATCTAGATGGCTGTATGCTTGTTTTTGTAGTACCTGAGATCCTGGAAGGACTCAAGTGGATATCACTGTAACTGCAGGTGAGTAGCCAGAGGTTGTCTGTTGGAATGACACCCAAAACTCTAAGGCTTCCTAAGCACGGGGAGATGCTTTTATCTGTCCATGGCTCACCGCTTGGTGTCTATAAGGAAGACAATATGGAAGCCATAAATGGTATGCTTCTCTTTTGGTAAAGATTCTCCCTCTTTCAGTTCAACATGTCAACAACGTTAAAACTTCATGCTTGTTATTGCCTTCTTTTCTTCACTTGTGATTGTGAAATGGCAGATATGTTCCTCTGACCAAAGTGAAAACTGATTCCTAAAATTGTTAGAAGTTGATTGCTTGTTTTTTCCATTAAAAATAATTTGGTTAAAGGAATCCCTTTGCCTTTTTTTCCTTTACCGGTGAAATGGCAGCTATATTCCTGACCAAAGTGAATAATGATACCTAAAATTGGTCTAGAGGTGATAACACATGATTCCAGATCTCTTATTTTTATTTTGATGTGTTATCTCATATTTGCAGAGTCAGAAGAGGGTTAAGCGGCTACTGGTTCAATTAGGCCGGATGGTTGAAGAATTCGTGGTACCTGCCAACTCAAGGCTGTTTTTGAATGTGATTTCATTATTGTATCATCAGTGTAATTGTGCCTATATTCCAATGGATCAAAGTCTGTGATGAGTGTCCCTCCCCTCCCCTTGAGCTTTCTTTCGTATCTTGCACCTCTTCTTCATATATTTGCCTCTCCATAAAGATAATTGCTCAATGAACTTTGTCTTCTTTTTCTTTTAAACTTCACATAATTTACATGAAATATCAGGTTATATATTGATTTCCTATGAGTACATAATTCATCCCATGCTTCCATACCATTTGAGGTGAGTTTTTCTCTCTTTTTTGTTTTTTGTTTTTTGTTTTTTTTCATCCACTTTATCTTTCTCGCTTTTCATTAACCTCTGGTTCTATTCCCCCTTGTTGTGTAGGCATATGAATTTACCTTAGAATGTTTGTGAAGCAGTATGGAGTTATGTCATCTCCATGGGCTGTCAGGAAAGGTCCCCAGGATTAATGTCAGATATGTTGGTTTTGCAATTTACTGATAAATAATGAGACATTTGTTGTCATTTAGATTGTAAGAAAGTTTTGCTTTGTCTGGATGGCTGCTTTGTCTCGATGGCTGAATGTGGGGATTTTGAGAAATCATTACATGGTTTCGGCCAATCACATGCTCTCATGTATGCAATTGTATTGTTTTTATTTTTTTATTTTTTTATTTTATGTAGTCACGTGTGATAGGTCAGGATGGTGGGACCATGTAGATCCAACGGGAACAGCATAAAAGACTCAGGTTCATTTTTGGATGAAAATGGGGATACAGAGAAAAATAAATTAATTAAATTAAAGTTTTTCCTGATCATTTAATAATTTAAATAACCGAAATTGTATCTGAAGAATTGTAAAAAGTTTAGAGAAATATTGGGGTTTATTTATTTATTATTATTATTTTTTTGAAGTGATTCAAAATTTGCCCAAACCATTGGAAAGGCAGCTAATAATGTGGAGTTGATTATTGAGAATTGCTTTGGGGGAAGTTACTTCTATGCCTCCATGTTGAAAAATTGGAGAACTCGAAATTTTTGGAATGATTATGTTGCAAAATATTGTTTAGTACAAAAAGAAGCAGGCTTTATTTTATGTGGAATTCCTTTTAGGCTGGTTTGGCCCTATCCGACTGGTCACGTGAAGTAATGGGACGCAGCAGCCTGTGGAAATTCACAAGTTTGTTTCTTCTTCTTTTTATTTTTTTACGATTTCAAATATATTTCTGAAATTTTTTAATGAATTTCAATGTTGTCAGTGGCCGCTATGTTTCGTGTTTAATTAATAATGATGGAAATGAAAAAATTAAAAAATATATATATATATATATATGAGCTATTGAACTGGTTGACAGTTTATTATGTCAACATATTTTTAGATTTCATGTAAAAATCCCATGAGTTACAAATTTGAATCCTTTTGATATAAAATTAAAAATAAAAAATAAAATAAAATTTGAATTCCAAATTAATACTTGAGAACAAACAGGATGAACAGAACCTTGAAGAAACAGGTTGAACAGAACATTTCAAAAAAATAATAATAATAATAATACAACTTATCATATAGTCAAACAATATGGACTCAGAAGTTCATTAATTTGCTGCTGAATTGCTAATCATTCATATAAAAGCTCTACTTCGAATTTCAGCTTTGTAGAAAATGAGAAAAATACAGCCAACACTCCCAATCTACTTTCACCTATGCCTTGGCAGTATTCTGTACCCTACTCAAACCATTTTTGACACTAACAGAGTCTGCCGGTGCCGGTAAAGACCTGAAAACCCCCAAAGCATCCAGGAAGAACCTCTTATTAGGGATGATACCATCTCCGTCCATGTGTTTCAGCAACTTCTGCAAAAGCTCCTTCATATTGGCTTTGGTGTATGCCTTATAGAGAAGTTTATAAGTAGAGGAATCTGGAAGCACCCCAGCGTTACGTGCAGTCTCAAACAGCATTGCTGCCTCCACTGGTAAACCATTCATGCAGTAAACATCGAGCATACGGTTTAGAGTTGAAGCCTTCACCTCGTTCCCAGACGCCATCATCCCGTCAAATATTTCCCTAGCCCTACAAACACAATCACAAAATCCGTACATCATGATGAGGCACTCAAAGGTAATGAAGCTAGGGGCATTTCCCATATCATTCATCTTCTGAAAAACGAACTCTGCTTTCTCCCTTAGCCGTGCTTTCCCATAATTCGTGATCATTGAATTGAATGTAGGAAGTGTCGGTTTCTCCTTGGAACGCACCAAGCTCTTAAACACCTGTTCCATCTTATCAAATTCTTGCTTCCTCCCGTACGAATCAATCAGCAAGTTGAAAGTGATGACATCTGGCTTACATTGATTACTCTTCATAAGGGAAAGCACGGATTCCATTTCTCGGATCATCCCATTCTTCCCATAGGCATCCATCACGCCATTGTATGTGAAGATATCAGGGGCAATAATGCTCTCGTCAAGATCTTTGAACAAAGCATTAACTTGATCGACATTTCTGGCTTGAGCAAAAGCTCTCAAAAGAATGTTGAATGTCACAATGTTAGGCTTACATCGCGGCATTCCCTTCATCTTGTCAAAGTACCCAAGAGCTTTAGCCAAAGCCTTCGATTTGTCCCTTGAGTGGAGGTGAGCAGTGATGAGTGCATTGTAAACAGAAGTGTCAGGCCGGCACCCACTGTTACGCATCTCCGAGAAAAGCCACATCGCTAGCCGGGTTTGGCCTTCCTTTCCCATAACTGATATTAACTTCGAGTAAATCCCATTATCAGCTATATACCACCGTTGTTTTTGCATCCACCTGAACACCTAAATATAAGATATCTAAGTGAAGCAACCATTCAAAAACGCAATACCAACACTATGTATCATAAACTTGTTTTACACAAATCAAGCTCGGCAACCAATCCACCATGATTATAAAGTAGCATACCTTTTATGGAATTACCATTAGAACATATGCAAAGCAACCATTTATTCAAGTCATTCGCATGTTTGATAAAACCTGAAAATGAAGTACTGAATTTTACGAGCTAGAATTTATGAGTGAGAGTTAAAAATTAAGATTTTTTGATATCTTTCGAATTTTAAGTGTTTAAAAATCGAAATTACTATCACTTAAAATTCTAGCCCATTCTAAGTGGCGCTTTACTATTTTAAGTGGCATTCAAATTGCGTTATCAGGCACACTTAATTGGAGAAACGCTTAATTTGTTCAGAATTAAGTGTTGAATTGGATTATCAAACAACACCTACATGTTTGAGTTCTAACTTGCTTTATATAGAATCCGGCTGGGTTGCAACCATTTCGCCAAAAAACAAAATTCCATATGCCATATGGTATGGTATTGCTTTGAGTTTATATGAATGTAAGAAGGCGGCAATATATATATATATATTTATTGATCAAGTAAGTACTCAAACACACTTTTGCCCACACTTGAGCTTGAACCCCTCCACTCTTCTGAGGATAGGGAGGTTATACCATTGGGCTAGAGGCCCTTTGTAAGGCGATGATGTTAAAAATATGAACTAAATAAAATACAACAATGTTAACAATACAATGTGTAGCAACATAAATTTACAAGTGACTGTGTTGACTACATATTAAATTCTCACTCAGTATATAATCAATTAAGAAATCAAGCAAAACATATAAAAAATCATCAGTGCAAGCAGAACATGAAGAAATTTAAGACACCTAGAAGATTAAAATGCATGAATTTTCTTTTAGAGAAAGAGATAAATGGGGTGCCCCAAAGACCTAACCTCAAGGCACTGACGCCACTCCCTCCTCTTTCCAAGCTCTTCAAACAGGTGAAAACAGTGTTCAGTTCAGACAAATTTGCGCGTGCCATATGGTATGATATTGCTTTGAGTTAATATGAATGTAAAAAAGAAGGCAATAATGTTGAAAATATGAACTATATAAAATACAACAATGTTAACAATGCAATGTTTAGTAGCATAAATTTACACGACTCTGATTAATACAAATTAAATTTGCACTGAGTGTATAATGTATATACAGATATGATATATAAAAGATCACAGTGCCAGTAGAACATGAAGAAATTCAATACAACAGAAGATTACAATGCATGAATTTTCTTTTAGAGAGAGATAAACGGCGTGCCCCAAAGACCCAACCTCTTGCACGCGCCATATGGTATGATATTGCTTTCAGTTTATATGAATGTAAAACGAAGGCAATAATGTTGAAAATACGAACTATATAAATTACAACAATGTTAACAATGCAATGTTTAGTAACATAAATTTACATATGCTTTTGATGACTACATATTAAATTTGCCCTGAGTGTATAATGTACATACAGATATGATTTATAAAAGATCACAGTGGCAGCTGAACATGAAGAAATTCAAGACACTAGAGATAGAGATGTAAAGGGTGCCCAAAAGACCTAACCTCAAGGCACTGAAGCCACTTCCTCCTCTTCCCAAGCTCTTCAAACAGACGAAAACAGTGTTCAGTTCTGACAAATTTAACATACTTGTCCAGTGTGGTCACCAACGGCCTTTTGTCATCGAAATTCATCAGCAGAACACGAACGAGCTCTTCTGTTTCCGAATTCCTCTCCATCGAATTCCTCTTGTATCGTTTCGCAGCACAGGAGATGCTGAAACCGGGTCTCTTCCTGAGAGTACATAGCTGGGTAGTATTGCAATTCTGTTGGGAAGATACAGAGAAATTTGGGGCGAATATGGTATGAACAGGCAAGAATTGCAGAGACCCAGATGATAAATTTACTGAAATGTTCATCATTGTGTCGTTAAATTCAAAGATGAGAGGTTTCGGTGTTGGAACGGAAGTGATTCATTTGGTGTGCGAGTTCTGAGTTTTCGTTGAGGAAAATAATCAAACAAGTGGTGAACAGACTCAAGAGAAACGATCCACAACCGTGGGATGTAATTTGGACTAAAAAGATTTTCAATTTCTTACCTCGAATTGCAAAACAATTAACTTTTATTTGTAGACTGTAGGAAAAAGATAATGTGGAGAGCCTAAAAAAGATGACCGAGGTGAGGATGAGTGGTCCGTGCACTTGTAGCACTTCAGCATATTACGTGGTTCCAAGAAGGAAGAGTCTCCGTAAACATGTCTATCTCAATGATATATTCCATCCAAAAATATATTATAGTACAGTATATATTAATGCATTATTTCTTTTTAAAATTTTATATAAAATACTGTTACTTAAGATTAGTTTTTAAAAATAAATTAGCACCTTTTTACATGACTAATTAATGGAGACAATTTTATTTTAATTTTTCGTTTTTTTTTTTTTTTTTGAAAGGTGAGATAATTTTTTGGGAATAAAGTATATGTATTGTCCACAATGATGGCGTCGAACTCGAGCCTCTTATCTATAAGAGTAATGATGCTAATATCTACTTGTTAGTAGGACTATATATGGACCGAATTGCGGGCTCGGTTCACTAAGGGCTTGGGTTTGGGATCGTTCGTTAAGTGAATAGTCGAGCTCGATCTTAATTTCTAGGCTCGTTTACTAAACGAGCCGAGCCTGATCAGTGTTAAGCTCGGCTCGTGTAGGTTTCGTGAATATGAACTTTTGTAGATTCATTTATATTATGAACATATATTCATATAAGGTTTGTATATGTTCGTGAACAATAGGTTGGTTAATGATTCGTTTACCCTTGTTTGTTTTTAATTTTTTTGTTGGAATTAATAAATTTTTGGAAGTATAAATAAAAAATAATGATTTACTAAACGAGCCTGGCGAGCTTGTAAACGAGCTTGAGTAGATTTTGAACATGAGTTCAATTTAATTTCTTAATCAAGCCGAACCGAGCCCAACCTCTTTAATACCATGACGAGCCCGAGCCAGAGCTAAGTTTTTTGAGCTCGTCAACCGAGCCCGCGCTGAGCTATAAACAAATGAGTCCGAACAGCTTAAAGCTAGGCTCGACTCAGTTCATTTGCTGCTCTACTTGTGAGACTTATTTTTAATAGTGAAATAATTAAAGCTACTGATAGCTGGAGACTTAATTTTGGGCCCCACTTCAAAAAATCATAGATGTCATCCTGTTAAGTACTCCTATTTTTTAGGGTGAAGTGTAAAAAACACCCTCAAGTATGCTTATAGTGTATATCACACCCCTCCAGTGTAAAAAATACCCCTCAAGTTTTAATTTGGTGCAATCAAGTCCCACTTGCAAATTTAAAATCAAATTTGACTAAAGTACCCTTAGTCAATAATTTTATAAAATATATAAAAATACAAAATTTCGTAAAAAGACTAAAAAGGACAATAAATAGCCCCTGCATCTCATGCAATAGCCGGCACTGGCAAGCAAGGAGAAGACAGGCTCCGCCGTCGTTGCACAGCCATTAGTCCAGCCCAGCTTCATCATAGCCGCAGCCACCGCCGAACCAAACCCATCTCACCGGCCGTCCATCTCTGCCGGTCCACGGATCCGAAGCTCACTGCCGCAATCCGTCCCAAGTCGCCATTTCAGCCATCTAGTCCGCTTCTGTCGCTACCGAAGAGGTTGTGATTTTTGCCGGCATTGTGAATCTGGCCGTGAAGAAGAAGCTCAGTGGATGGAGAAGAACCCACTAGCGACTATGGATCCGGGGATGGGCGGGCGGCTAACGAGATCTCACGATTATATTATATTTTGAAATATAATATACTATACTTAGTCTCTGATGGGCTCCAACATGGTTACCGCAACATTACTAGCAATACCATCCGCCATTTTTAACTCACCAGCAACAACCTTTAATTTGTTTCTTTCTATTTTCTCTCTCTAAGCAGACAGGTGCAATACAGAATATGAAGGAAAGCTACAACTTTTTTTTTTTTTTTCTTTTTTTCTTTTTTGGGAAAAGGAAGAAGCTAAGAAATTAAAGGAAGAGACTTGAAGACAAATACAAAGAGTTTGATTTTGAATTAATGACAAACAAAAGTGAAAGATTTTCTTTTTAGGGGATGAAAAGTGAAGATTCACAAGGAGACACTCGAGAGATACAAATTGAGGTGTAAGAGAGTGCCTAATTCAAATTTAACAGAAAAATTAATGGACAGAATGTGGGAAATTGAAGACACTGAAGGGACAAAAAGAAGAAGCAGATGATGCAATACAAAGGAAATGGAAGCAATAGAAACTAATACACGAAGCTAAAAGATAGTTGTTGTTGAGGAAACTAGAAATGAGATTTAAACATACCTCTGAATTAAGCCAATCTTGTTCAGATAATGCAAGCTATATATATCCCAAATCCAAATGCACCAATTGACTCTGACTTTCAATGACAACCAGAACCAAAGAAATCAAATAGATGATTGGAAAGTGAAGATTCAGTAGATGGATGATGGTGAGACTGTGAGATGAGTAAGAGAGATCAGATGTGGAGGGACTGCAGATAAAGAGAGAGAGAAATGCAAATTCAGATGTTAGAGAGAGAGAGAGAGAGAGAGAGAGAGACTCATTACAAGGTAAAGTAAAATGATAATTATTGATTTGAACCAAAAAAGACAAAAATTAAATAAATGAATAAAAAGAAGAAGAAGAGATTAATCTGCTTACCATTATCAATACAATTTCAAAATAGTATAGTCGCCAATTTACTCACCACAATTTTGCGCAAGAGTGAAAGCATGACAGAGAGTAGAGAGTAGAGAGAGAATGAGGGGTATTTTGGGAAGACTAAAAAGGCAAAATGGGTATTACAATAATAATTTAGGGGTGTTTATTGCATAGAGGGGTAATTTTGCACAATTTCAAAAGATTAGGAGTGTTTATTGCACACTTTTTCAATTAGGAAGTAAAAATGCTACAAAAAGTATACTTCAGGGGTGTTATCTGCACTTCCCCCTATTTATTATTCTATAATTATTGTATGCAATTATTGTAGGCAATTCGCATCATAGATGTATTTCCTTTTTTTATTACAATTTGTTTAACAAAATAATTTATGAGAGACTATTATAGAATAATATGAAGTGCACATGGTAACGCATGAACTGCAAGGGCATCCACAGCACAAGCCATTGCGAACACACTTGATGGGCCAACATCAGGTTACCTATTTTTTACATAATAGTGTGGGAGTGAGAAGGGCTCAAAATGGACCTTCGCCTGTATTTTTCTTTTTCTTAAAAAATAAAATGTGCCAAAGTTTATGAGAGAATAATAAATTTAGAAGGAAGAGAGGAGGTGCACATCGTAAGACATAATTTTCCAAATAAAGTGTAGAATTGTTAATATATTTCTCTACTTTTTAAAAAAAGTGCATCATTGCACATCGAATGCTTCGATAAAAGGGTAGTTTGGATTGAGTCGATTGACAAAGTTTTATCACTGCTTTTATTAGTACTACCTACTTGATTAGTACTTTTGGTCATAAAATTCTTAATATTTATTTATTTATTTATTTTTATATGTCCCAAAATTTGTTTTGATCAAGGAAAAAGGTAATTCACTTACCAAAATATTCTTTTTAACTTTTTGAAAATTTAAACTAGTACTACTTTATATGAGTAGTTTTGTAAATTTAAAAAGAAACAAAACTTTAAATATTTATCCTCTTAAAAAGTTGGAATTCCAAAGGTACTCAAAATTTTTGGAGGAAAGGATTGATAGGTAAATTCAACATCAATTTGCCAACTTAATTAAAAGAACACTTTCTTCTTTGAGTTTTATGAAATCAAATAAATGGGTAAATGCAATATTACAAATAAAAATGAGAAAAGACGTTTTATATTGTGTTTTATCTCTGGATTGACGTTATAACTATTTAGTTTCAAAGTTCAATTTTGAAAGGCATAAAACTATGCGAAGCAGCCTTAAAATTAAATAAAATTGGCACATTTAGGCTTAAGTTAAATAAAACGAGCACCTTATGCCTCCTTGTTGAAATGCGCCTAATCAGAATGTCATCGAAGCCTACTTTCAAGACATGATTGATTTTGGGCCATTTCAAGCAAATTGTATAAATTAAGTAAAGTATGTATAAAGTCCAGCAGGGGCTCAACAGACAGACCCTTTAAGGCCCAACCCAAAGTATCTTTCCAAAATGAACAAGAACTTCCTTAGGATGTTGTTTCCTTCTTCTAATTCATGGGTAAGAGTCTTGCTCTGATGGAGCACAAGAACTTCCTACTAGGATGTTGATTGTAAACCTTTGAAGATTCTGGCATTTCGTTCACTCCAGATGTGGTATACTGACGCAGAGAAGGCTAATTTGTTGGTGTGTTTAGTGCATTTTCGTTTTTTTTCCCGTTTTGTGCGCCAGACACCGTGAAGTGTGCCGGTTGTGTCCGTAAGTTAGTTTGGGGCATTTCATTGAGTTCAGGACTCTTTGAAATACAAGGGTGACCATTTTGGCATTTTTTCATTTTTTAGGCCGGACGGTCTCGTGTGGGATCCGCTACCAGAATTGTCGCGTACGGGGGTGTTGGTTAAGCCCATTTGCATCTCATATATATTATTTGATGTGTTTCATATTGATGTGATTTAATATGTGCGCAAATATATAATTGTGGTGTAAAATAAAAGAATAAAAAGAAAATTTTAATTAAAAAGTAGTAGGACCCACCACAACCATTTTTATAGCTTAGAGACCACTTTGGGCTTATTCTCTCTCTCCCTGGCTGTGCACTTCTATCTCTCTTTTCTTGTTCTTTTTCTTTTTTCTTTTTTCTTTTCTTCTAAATTTCAATCCTAGATATCTCCCTCAATTTTTTGAATTTTTTGATGCCGTTTGCGGCAAATTAAAGAGCACGGCGAGATCTACGATTTGATCGGAACAAAAGTGGTTTTGGTGCACCCTAGGAATTTCTAATTCTAGGGCTTAGATTGAGCAAATTGGGGGTTTTTTCAATTCTTGAGGTAGGGGTTTCTAATTCCTAATTTCTTATTCCTTTGCGAATTTTTGTTCAATGTTTGTTGTCAAACATGCTTGATTTGAGTTGATTGCCTTGAAAATGATATTATTGTTGTAGATGAAATTTATGATTATGTGTATTAATTAAATTGTATGAAAAACATGCCTAAATATTAATTTCCATACCATGGTGTTTATTATCTTGCTAGAAATTGCTATGTGGAAGTATGTTAAATTATGTAGTGGAAATTCTTTT